AAAATGATTTTTATTTTGTAGAGAAAAATATAGAATAGCAAATAAGAATATCCTCAACTTTCTCATCTTGTCATTGTATAAGCATTTGAATTCATCAGTGATTTCCTCTCTCTTTTCCTTTTCTGGGGAAAATGCACCCCTCCTCTCTGAAGTTAATCTCGTCAATGGTACACCACTGAATTCTCTTTGCATCAATTAAGATGTTATTATTACTAATCATCTTAGCCCTTACTATTATTAATAATCTTTCATAAACTGTCAGCACATGTCAACATTTAAGTGAATTTCATCCTCAAAAACGTTGCCCTACACCTACTTTCATTTACTTTCCTTCATTTCATTGTAATGTTTCCTTACAGGCACCTATGTGGGTTTGTGGGTTTCTTGTTTCCCCTTCAGCTTACTGAGTGAGACAGGATTTTTGTCCCAACAATGTCAAATTCTATTTTTCTCCACATCCCAAACTACATCCAGGATGTTAAATCTAAGATTTTTCTAAGTGTAAGGAACTTTATTTCCTTATTCCATGTGATAGCTTTGATGTCTTCCTTTCTCTTAAAAAACCCTCCAATAATGCTGAGGATTGTTTTAAGAGTATCATATGTTAAACATGCAAATTTTTTGTTCTTCTGCTGTTTTTGTTGGAAATACCTTGAGGATTTAAAACTTGTGTTATTCCAGGCATTTTTTTTTCTCAAAACATCAGTTTCCTGTGCTTGAAATAAGGGACTATAATAAGATAAGCACTTAAAATCCTATCACAAGAGCTAATATCCTGGGATTAAGGTAAGAATCCTTACCAGATCATCATCTTTTTTCACTCACCTTCTTACTACACTGTTGTATCAGTTTATTTTTTACTGGAAAAATTAATGTTGAGACTTAAAGATTAAAAAATTGACCATAGCCAAATTTTTATAACCCACTCGAGTAGGCCTGTGCTCATAGAAGAAAGTTGTGCTTCCCTTGGCAAGGCTGCGGTTCCCTAGAATATTGCAAGTCCACTTATATTTTGCTTAGAGGCTTTGAGGTTAGTTTTCTGGTCTCACATCATATCTCAGGAACACAAACTTGATATCCAAAACCCAGTGGAAAAATTTATGTGGGCAAATAAGGTGTCCAAACCACAGCTTATGGCTTGTATGAGGCCCAAAACAAAATCATGAATTTACTTAAAATCTTTTTTTTGCTTCATCAGGTTTCGTTAGTGTTTGTGTATTTAATGCATGGCCCAAGACAGCCCTTCTTACATTGTGGCCCAGAGATACCAAAAGGTTGGACACCCTTATCTACTGAAGAGTTGATTAAACACAAAATGAAATAATGTGATGTGGTTTTGTACATCTTGAGAACATCTCAAAAATATATATTTTGGCTCTCAAATAGTAAATTATTATATATAAAATTGGATTATGATAATCACTATTTAGTTTTATTTAGCCAGTTTAAAATAATTTATGAAAGAACAGAATATTCTACATGATAAGATGGTGGAATAAATGGGAAAGAAGCAAAAATATATCTATCAGGTTGTTGAGAATTAGAGATCTTGAAAGTCAACATGTAGACTGAAAACCAATTATAAACGAAGTTAATGACTCTGATATGTGTAATACGTGCATCATGTCAAAATGGAACTCTGGCCATCCAAGGCCAGAATAGACCCTAGAATCCTCATTCAATAAATACATTTACTCTATGAATATGTTGTGCCAGGCAATGTTCTACAGAGAAAAGGAGGATAATTTCAAAAGAACATTAAGAATTTTGACAAGTCCTTAATAGTGAATAAGAGATATTAGAAGAAGTAACAAAAGCTATTAATGGAGATTGAAAAGTTCATTACATGACTGGAGACCTGAAAATGAGATTGAGAATGTGTTACATATCGAAGAGGGACTGGGAAGAAAGAAAAATTACACACACACACACACACACACACACAGAGATATGTGCAGTTTTGAGCTTCTATCTGCCCAGAAGATTAATCTCAGCAGGAAGAAACTCTCTTTTCCCCAATCATTCCACCAAAATCCCATACTTAAATCAGTAACTCATTAGTCACCACTCAGAAACCAATCACTGGATCTTTGGTGACTGGCCAGGAAAACTTCACCAAATCCCACTGGTGCAAAAACAGACTCACCAAGGATAGGAAGGGCTGCACACTTACTAGGAAATTGAGATGCGATTAGTAAAGGGATGAGAAACACATATCAACCCCTGCAGTTTGCAAGTAAGGGAGTGAACATATTATATATGTAAAATAAACCACTTGAAGAAATACAAAAGAAACTACTATGAACTTGCTTTGCAGACATGTCTGTGAGACACTCAGTGTTCCTCAGATATTCCCAGAAAACTGCGATTGTTATTTACAAAATGACATTGGGAAAAAAAATAGAAATATGGCATTTTAGTTTTTGTGAAGGTGAATATAATGTGACTTCCTTTGTGCTCATAAAACCAACCAGCTTTTAGATACAAAAAGTTTGCCTGCATCTCAGTAGGCTATGGATACCGATAGTTATTCATCCATACCAAATTAAGTAAGAGGAGTTCTGTGTCCCTAAATCCTGAAACTCAAAAGACCTCTGAAAGGGACATCATAGATTCTGGAGAGAGATCAAATTAATAACTGGCTAAAAGGCAAGTGCCTGAGCAGCTGTCGAGGCGTCTTAAATACAGGGAAGTTCGATAGTGAAGGTTCGTCTAGGAGACCAGGGCTCTAGCATATGGACACATTCCAGTTTAGTGACTCCCAGCTCAGGGTTTCCTTGCTAGGTGAGATTTGACAACATCTGGAGACATTTTTGCTTGTCATAAATGTGGGGAAGGGTGCTTCTTTTATCTAATGTGTAGGGGCCAGGGATACTTTGGAACACCTCACAATGCGCAAGGAAGGCCCCCACAGAACAGAATTGGCTGAACCAAAATGTCACTAGTGCTAAGGTTGAAAGATCCCACTCTGATTAGAAGACCAAAGGTGAAGAAAAATTTTTCTTTCATCTTAAAGTACAAATTCTCATGGGTGATATGGTAAATCTCACTCTATTGAGATTATTTGAAAACCAATGCAGAGCCATGACATACTTTGTATCATAAGCAGAAGGTAACTCCATACCTTTGGTCCTTGTTTATTCACTTACTTAAAAAACACTGAGTAAGTTGCCTTTGCCAGTGATACTGGAATATTTTTAAATGACACTTGCTCTCAAAATTTTCTTTTAAAGAAACACACGATGAATGCATTTTATGGACTAGATCCGTGCAGTTTTGTTATATTTAAGTTCAACAATAATTCTTTGAGGCTGGCAGTTTATCCCTGCTTTATATTTGAAAGACTAAACGTTAAGTAAATTTAAGCATCTTCCTCAAAATTACTCATCAAGGTCTGAACCAACCCCCAGGTATTTAATTTCAAGCAAAGTACCTTGTTACTCATTAAAGTAACAAGGACTTGTGCTGTATATAAGTGTGACCTGAGTAAATATATAAACAACAACAAATACCAAGTGATATATTAAGTAAGTGATTTTTAAAATGAAGCAATAACATTGTGGAAACGGAGGAAAAGTAAATTATGATTTAACTTTAAACAGATGGGAGTGTGCAGCTTCAACAAATACCCTCATATATACCAGGCTCTCATCCCTGGGACCCGTGATCTGCTCATTTAATCGGTAAAATAGAGAACAAAAGGTAAAAGTAAAAACTAACAACAATAGAAGATAATTTATTAATCAATTATACCATATATTGTGCTAAGAACTTAAGATACAGATTTAATTTTTATGAAAGTTTTATTATAAAATTAGAGTAGTATTATCTACTTTGCAGAAGTTTTTAACTTATTTTGATTATTGACACTATTACAGATGTACCGATTCCCCCCCCCGCTTTGCCCACTTCCACTCAGTCCTACCCCCTTCTCTATGGTCACCACCGCACTGTCGTCTGTATCTATGTGTCAAGCACATGTGTTCTTTGGCTAATCCCTTCCCCTTCTTTCATTCAGTCACCCCTTCCCACTATGCCCTCTGACAGCTGTTCAGCCTGGAAAGTTATTAAATTATAACCTTACAATAGAAAGGGTAAAAAAAAAGAAAATAATTACAAATGACTAAAAAGTATTTCCTCAAATACATATACACATGTAGGGAATTTGCTCCAAATTTTTATGATAGGAAAAAAACATAGAATATGAGACAAATGTATACTCATGCCATGTAAAATGGTAGTTTAATAAAAATAGTTGCATTCATTAAAAATGATGAAGACTTGTGGGTATGTGCACCCTATTAGAAATACATTGATAACATCTCAAAACAAAAACTGAGTCAACAATACCACTCCAAAAACCCATTCAAAGCAATGAGAAATTGGAGAGCAGCAGCAAAGGTAGAAAATGCATCTGGATGAGCCAATAAAAAAGATAAGATACGGTTTTAAACTAAAAGCAACAAATGAACAAACAAGAAAAACAAATGAAAATTCATAGACACAAACAAGAGTATGGTAGTTACCAGAGAAGATGGAGATGGGAGGGGTAGTAAAAAGTAAAGGGGGTCAAATATACGGTCATGGAAGATCATTTGTTTTAGGGCTACAGGCACATACACTGATGATGTATCATAGAATTGTACACCTGAAACCTATAAAATTTTAGTAACATATGCCACCTCAATATATTTAAATAAATAAATTAAAAAATGGATATATATATATATATAGGTAGGTAGGTAGGTAAGTAGGTAGCTAGATAGATAATAGATAGATAATAGACAGAGGCACAGAAAAGATTTAAAAATTATATGGTTTTGAATAAAATAAATGCACAAAGACAATAAAAATGATATGGCTTTAACAAGACAGACACATGGAAAGTAAGAAAGCATGCATAGATCTCTAGCATGTAAAATCCTTCCCTATTTTCCTTTTCTTTAACATTCACTCCAATAAATCCTCTGTAAAGGTCTCTGATAGAACCCTGAATCTGGCTAAGAAAAGAGCTTCTCAAAAAGCAATTTTGATCCCAACACTTTCTTGAGGGCTTCCTTCACATCCTTGTTCCTCAAGCTGTAGATCAGGGGGTTCAGCATGGGAATCACTACTGTATAAAACACTGAAGCCACTTTGTCAGAATCGGCACTGATGCCAGAACTGGGGCGGCAGTACGTGAAAAGGATTGTTCCCTGTAGAACAATGATGGCTGTGAGGTGGGAGGCACAGGTGGAAAACGCTTTGCGCCTTCCCTCTGCAGAGCGCATCTTCAGAATGGTGATGAGAATAAACAAGTAGGAGGTGAGGATGATCACAATGGTGATGATCTCATTGAAAGAGGCCACAATGTACACCAACAGCTCGTTCACAGTGACATCAGAGCAAGCAAGAGATAAGAGAGGGGGCAGATCACAAAAGAAGTGGTTAATCACATTTGATCTGTAAGATGGGATCTCAAGAGCTAAACACAAGTGAATTAGAAAACACACTATCCCCCAGAGGTAGCAGCTAGAAACCAGCGCCATTCGCAGTTTCTGGGACATGATGACCATGTACAGCAGTGGGCTGCAAATGGCCACAAAGCGGTCATAGGCCATCACAGCCAGCAGGAAGACATCAGTAATTACACAAATGCAAAATAAGTAGAATTGTATCATACATCCCAGGAAGGATATGGTTTTATCTTTGTTTAAGATATTGAACAGCATATTTGGCACAATGATAGTAGAGTAGCAAAAATCTACAAAGGACAAGTGACTGAGGAAAAAATACATGGGAGTGTGAAGCCGAGAGCTGACCTGAATCAGTGCGATCATGCCCAGGTTGGCCAAAACCGTCACTCCATAGATCAGGAGGAACACCATGAAAAGAAGGACTCTCAGCTCAGGGGCGTCTGTTAATCCAAGGAGAATGAACTCTGTCACAGCAGTGCAGTTCTCTTCTCTAATTTCCACCATATGTTGGGTTTAAAATGCCAAATGATAATTTCATGTGTCTTCTGAAATGGAAATAAGAGAGAAAACACATATTTAGATTAACTTAAAAATCACATTGATGTCAAACACAATGTATTTTAAATACATTTATCAAATAATCCTGAATGTTCAGTGTGGCAGCAGACCCCACAGACAAAATGGAAAGCATCAGTAGAAATGTGTGTAATTATCAACTGTTATGTGCCACAATACATTGGGTTGATGAATTAACTTAGACATTTTGATAGAGTTTGAAGTAGATTCAATGATATATTTTGAAGCCACAAGAGTTCAACTCCTATTCCCTGAAAAATATAATAAATTCTGTTCAAGACAACAGCTATCGTGACCCTATACACACTAATTTTTTTATGTCAGTCTATCATGAGCATAAATTTTCAGTAGGTAACATCCTGGGCAATTTTCTTGTTGGGGAGTGTGACAAATCTCTGAGAACAGTAGCTCGAAGATCTTTACAAATTTAGGATTATGTGGAATGAAAAAAAAGATTTAAAATATACACTGAAATCCATCATTGTTTTTCATTGTCAAATTAACAGTAACTTAATGAATCATAATAGTAATCACTATCAATAATGACTAAGAAAGATAGAATTCATGTATGAGTTTTTCTGCAAAGCAATTAGGCAACATATATTCAAAGTCTTAACTCTGATAACAATAAAAGTTACCTGATATATTTATGAAAGATTTTATTCTTTGAAAGTTGTCATAAGAGATGTTTAATGACATTTACAAATTATGAAAAAGTATATTAAAAGCAATGCAGCACTATTTGTAATATTCACAATTGGAAAAATTAATTGTCATAAAAAAACAATGTTAAACTATGTTATACCTTATCTAAAACAGAAAGTTTTCATGTTATTTCAAATGATGTTATGGAGATTGTTATTTTTTAAAAAGAATACCTAGGACAGTTGCTGCACATATGTAAGTTAAATAAAATGTTTATGTTGAGGTATGAATATATATGGTAAAAGTATCATATGTTACCACTTTGATTTGGCTCCAAACCTAGAAGATCAATCCATTCCTCACACTGAGAAGAGGTAAGTGAAAACTTTTCCAAATTCCCTCCTGTAGATGAAGTGGTTACACTGAATATGCCCTAAGTCTGATATACAAAGACATTCAGACCTGTCCTTAAGAAAAGTCATATGGAATGTGACAAATTTTATTCTCTGCCCTCCTTCCCAGAAGGGTACACCCATGATGTTATACACATATTATGTAATGAAAATTGAGTGAAGAGATGCTGAACTGAAACAGAACTTGGTATTTTCTCCATAACATGAACTAATTCTGAAGAAGTTAAAACAAATCACCATGCTAAAGCCATGGTTTTCTCATTATTTGACCCCCCCAAAAAAAACAAATTATTTGCCCACCTCAAAGTTAAAACAGGAGAATCAACTTGAAAACACTTCTTCCTAATGTTCTAGACTAATAATAAGGAAACTAGATTGTGGTAGACCCAAAATAAATCTAAAAGAATTCACCTCATTCACTGAGCAGGGAGAGTTTACATGTCCTGATTTCCCCATGACCAACTTAGGGACACATAAATGCAACCCTCAGAATTAGGATGACAATTAGGGAGCTCTTTTATGGTTATAAAATCTAGATTCCATGACAGAAGTTGATGTGGAGAAAGGTTGAATGTGAATGAGAGAGAGAGAGAGAGAGAGAGAGAGAGACTACCAAGACTACCATTTGTTCACGCTCCAGTCTTTCATACACATCAGCAGTTGGTGTTCCAGAGGAAATTGTTCTAATTTCACCATCAAATGTCTCTAGATGGACGAATTAGCTATATCCTTAAAATAATTGTTTTCTGGGAAATATACCCAGTTTAATTTTCAAATAACCAGAGCCCAGTTTTAGCTAACAAACCTGAATGACAGACGTTTCCCCCTGGTGGTGAAGATGTTAGGACGAGTATGATACGCAGAAACTTTTAGTGTAATTTTAACCCCTGGGGAATGGATCCCTCAAGATCCTAATCAATTGTTAATCTTTAATGCTATAAAAACAAGTTAAAATTAAACTAATTGTACATGTGGTATGGGACACATAATTAATCTCTATGGAATAGCATCAGGAATATTTTTAATGCCCTCCTAATTTGTGAAACAATTGTTTGAAAGCAAACACAGCTTCATCCAGATTTCATGGTGCTATACGGCATTCCATCCTAGTGGCCTATATGTGGGTCACAGATCACATTGCCATAACAAAATAACATGAATGTTTCTTATTAATTCCCCCTTTCTTATATATTACCGAATCCCCTAAATTCCAGCAAGGTACAGTGACTAAAGCCACCCTAGAATCTCTTCAAATACTAGAAAAGAATTAACCTATACATCAGAAAATTATTAATAGTTAACACTTCTCAGACACTCAGTATGTTAGAACCTATTCTGAATGTTATACAATATTGATTCATGTTTCTAGGTCTGTCTTACAAAGGAGATGATGGAGGCACAAGCACTGAGTTGTAACTTGGATAAAGTCAAAATAAATCACAGGAAAAGGCCCCAGGCTGCTCTGTGGTTTTCCCTGCCCTTAGGACTGCGTGGGGAAAAGAACATGCTCCCATCCAGTGCTGAGGCCGCATTTTCCTTGTGCATAGCCAATGCCAGAAGCCATCAAATGACCTTTTCAATGATCTGTTCTAGATGAGCTCTTCTTCTTCTGGCTCATGTCAATGTAGGCCACAGTTTTCTATTCATCTATGTGTGTCTCTGAGTGTACACATAAACATCACAAGGTGTATATGATCATAAATAAATAATTTCAAGTAAATCAATTTTTACAATCTAAAATATGATATAATATCTTCCTAAGCTAGATGTGTCACGTAGAGTACCCTAGGCTAAGGAAACCTTCTGGTTCTCCATTCCCACATCTTCTTTCACAACTAAACAAAGAAAGAAAATTTTCACCAGCCCATATGTTGTGTATTACCACCATGAGTATAAAACATGTGGGTCAAAATAGGAATAACTTGAAATATTGATGTTTGGAAGGCTACCTTTAACTTTTCTGTTTCTTTGCAATTGAGGCTCCTTAAACTCATTTTTCTTTGGTGAAAAATTTATGCAAATATTTTGCCCATTTGACTTCTTATGCTCTAGTTGTAAGTACCCTTTGTATATTATGGGTATCAAACTTTCATCAGATATACAACTTGTGCCTGTGGCTCTTAAATTTTTGTCTATGATTCATCTTGAGTTAGTGTTTGTGTATAGTGTGAAGTATAGATTTCAGTTCATGTTTTCATATATGAGTAGTCAATTACTCTTCACATTTATTGAAATGATTCTCTTTTCTGAATGAACAGCCTTGGTAGCTTTGTTGAAAATCAATCAACCATTAATCTGTTAATTTTTAGATTATCAGTGTTATTACATTGATATAAGCCTGCCTTACACCAGGATAAACACCATGCTTTATAATTTTGGTATTAACTACTGTTCTGCTTTTGTTAAATTTATTTTTAAGTATTTTAACATTATTATTAATCATATTGTTTTCTTAATTTCACATTCAGGGATTATTTTGCTACCATATAAAAATAAAATTGTTTTTCTGTTTTCATTTTGTATCTTGTGACTGATGAACTCATTACTTCTAGTGGTTTGTTTGTATGTGGAGTGATTAGGATTTTCTACTTAAAAGATTATGTAGTCTGTGAATAAAATTCCTTTTACTACAAATCCACTGACTTATTAATCTATCTGTCTATCATCTACACAGGTATGTATGTATGTATGTATCTATCTATCTATCGTCTATAATCAGCACTGAGAGTGGACATCCTACATTGTTTTGTGGTTTTGGGTAAAAATACTCATTCCACAATCATTAAGTGCAATGCCAGAAGCAGGTTTGGTAGGTTGAAGGCATTTTCTCTATTTCTCTTCCTTGGAAATTTTTATCTTGAATGAGATTTGGATTGTGTCAGATACCTTTTCTGTATCTACTGGGGTAGCTATTTGGTTTTTGTGTTCTGTTCTATATGTGATGTGCTACATTAACTGCTTTTTATCTGTTAAACTCTCCTTGCTTTCCTGGGATAGATCTCATTGATGATGATTTATTATCCTTTTATATGTATTATTGGATTTATTTTGCTAATATTTTGTTGACAATTTTTTATCTACAACTGTGAAGGATATTATGTTGTGTTGTTTTTCCTTCTATTTCCTTATTGACTTTGGTATCAGGGTAATGCTTGCTAAATAAAATGAGTTGGAAAGTGGTCGTCTTCTCTATTTTTGATGTGAGTTAATCAACAATGTATTATTTCTTATATTAGATGTTTAGTGAGAATAACCAGTGAAGTCATCTGTGTCTGGATATTGATAAAGGGGGAAATATTTTAGTTACAAACCGAATTTATTCCTTTTTATATGTCTATTCAGATTATCTATTTCTTCTTTTGTCATTTTTGAATGATTTTCTATTTAGGAATTTGTTCTTATCATCTAAGTTGACTAATTTCTTTGCATAAGTTTTTATAATACTTATTACAGTTATTTAATATTTTCAAGGACATTATTCCTCCTCATGGTGTCAATTTGTATCTTGTCTTATTTTCTCTTTCTAATTATAGATAAATGTTGTTCCATTTTATTTATCTTCTGAAAATTAAAATGCTTTGATTTTCTTTTTTTAATTGTTGTTCAGTTACAGTTGTCCCAGCTTTCCCTATTGCTCTTCCCTGACTCACCGCCCCCCCGACCCCGGACTTCCACAGTCAATGTCCCCTCATTGTCCCTGCCCATGAGTCCTCTATTTGTGTTCCTTGGCTTGCCCCTTCCCCTCCTTTCCTGTTATCCCCCTCGCCCCTCCCGTCTGGTCACTTGTCAGTTTGTTCTTTATTTCAAAGTTTTGTTCTTTACTTCAAGTCTCTGGTTCTATTTTGCTCATTGGTTTGTTTTGTTGATTAG